TCTATGTGCTTGTTCAGGGAGTTCTACTCTTGGAGTTTTTTATTGTGGGAACTTTTTATTTTTTTTTCCGATTTTGCTTTGATTGAATTTTGCACTTAGAACTGAAATTCAATACTAATGATTAGAACTTTTAGATACAAGAAAATTTTAGTTCAGTTTATATTTAGGATCACTGATTGGCTTTTGTGTTCCTATATTTGTCATTCAGTTTGGAATAATATGGAGGCATTTTATTATTTATTGGAAAACATCAGGTTGTGAGTTTGCATAACTAATATAGATGAATATATTTTTTGTTCACATCTATTGAACTAGATCATGTTAGATTTAGACTTTACAAGAAGTTTTCCGAGCCCTGACTATGTAATTCTCGTTTCCACAGGAAGATGAGGATGTGTCCAAAGGAAGTCCAAGAATACATTTGCACCACCTCTTTGTGGTAGCTTCTATGGTGTTGTGCTTGATGGGCCGGGAGGTTCTGTGCCAACAGTGACAGAGTATATGGTTAATGGCTCTCTCAGAAATGCCTTGCAGAAGAATAAGAAGAAATGTGTTTGTTTGGCTTTTTGTTCTTTGCATTAATTTGATAAAATCAGAATGAATGTTGTATCTGACTAGTTGGTATGTAATTTCCAATTGTATTAATCAATTGGGTATTGAAATTTGTTTGTATATGTATGAAAATATGGGATTGTATGTTGAAGTTTGTTGCTGGAATTTTGGATGAACTTTGATGAAAATGTTTATGTTTGTTAGGAGCAAGTTCAGTTTTAGGATTATTTGATGGAATACAGATGTTAACAGGTTTTGTGTTATTGTAAGCATGTTTTCTTTTATGCCTAAACCGGCCGAACCAAACCGCACCAAACCGGATATGAATGGTTTGGTTTGGTTTGGTTTTCATTTTGATTTTAGCTCAAACCGAATCACACCGGACCGTAAAAGTTTAATTGGTTCAGCTGTGGTTTGAGGGTGAAACCGGACCAAACCGGACCGTGCCCACCCCTAATTGCAGGGTACCAAATTGAAATTAAATCTAAAATAAGGTTTTGGTAGGTACCAATTTCTAGTAAGAAATTTTTTTATTCGAAGTTTGGTACATTATTTGCTGTCCATTTAGGTACAAAGTCACTAATCCTAAGTGTTGAAATTTAGGGGGATGTATTCATTCCATACTTATAAAGACTTTGGGTAATTAACTGAGTGACTTTCATAGAGTTGACATATTCTTAAATACTTTCATAGAGTTGATAAAAGTCACTAGTTCATTAACAATTAGCCTTAAAAGTATACGAAAATCATTCATTGACTAAGTTTTTTAAAGTCATTAACTTTTTGGATACCACCAACTTTTAAATACTTTTTAACAGTCAAAACTGTATACCACCAACTTTTAAATAGTTTTAAAGTCATAATGTCAATATATTATTTGTTCAAAATATGTATCCTAAAGAAATTGAAATTGAATCAATTACTCTTCCTAGACAATCCAATTTCTAGTTTTAAGGGTACAAGATTAGGAATTTTAATATGGAGCCCACGTATGATTATTTATTTCTTATCCTCTGGTAAATGCAGAAAGTCAAGAATTTGAATAATTCTAATATTTATTTGTAAACACTAGGAGTTAAGGAATTATAATAATTCCAATACTCATTCCAAATAAATTAACATGGCATGAGTGAGAAGACTCGTTTAGTAATCCATCTTGGGCCACCCACCACATTCATGTCCATGTGTCTCCTTTACTAAAGAGGGATGGACATTTCATCTTTACTCTCAGGAATGGATATTAGTTCTTTTTTCCTGTCTGTTTACTAGCACATGGGTATTAGAAATAGAAATAATACCAATTACTGATTTTCCACTGCATTTATTAACAATAAAAAAAATATGTAATTAAGTTGACCGTGTTAAAATCCATAATCAAATACCCTTAAGATTATAGAACCAAGTGGAGCTCATTCTATGCGAGATTGAGTTGGATAAAGACTTGGTGTGTGTATTCACATACCTGTGCTGTACTGAAGCTCAAAGCCGTACACTAGAGCATTGTGTATGCGACTATAAGAAGCGTTTCGATCTTTTTCATTCAAGGAAGCCATAGCCGTCCACCCTATACTGCACCCATCCTCCAAATCCCATGCAACTGTTGGGCCCACAACGACGTAGCTATACGTTCTCGGTTGGGACAAAGAAGTAGCTCCCCCAGTAATACTATTCATGCATGGAGCAGTGTCCACATAGAGAGATGAATTCACTGGATTCGCACACATGATGAAAGTTACAGCTCTTGATTTCCATCTATCCATGCTACTATATTCATAGTCATAAACACTATATGGAGATCGAGCATTTATGGATTCAGATGACAAAGAATAGAGAGGAATGGAGGTGCAATTGTTCTTCTTAAAGCCAGGATCTACGACTCGAATTGTGTTGTTATTGTAGTTGATTGACATTACGTGGAATTTTGCAGAATGTAGTTGCAACACTGTTCACAAGACAGACAGTAGGCTAAATCGCCGCAATGTTTCAGGTCGTCTTTCAGCTGAAAAGGGCAGCTTATGTTATGGATGTTGCCGCAGGAAGAAGGAGAACACGCCTTGGCGTTACAAGTTTCACCAAATATTGAGCCAATAACAAGAAAGCCTACAATTGCAAACCTCCCACACAAGGCTCTTCTACCTTCCATGGAGATCCCAGAGGCTAGAGCTAGCTCTAGGTTTTTGTTTGACAAGTCTAATAGTTTTAAGGTCCCATTCAAACTAGAACTAATTTATATCTGGATGAACAAGTCAAAACAGCGTTGAGAGAGCAAGCTATGAAGACCGGCATTAAAAGTATAGATGATATTTTCTCTGAAGCTTTATTCAATTATTTTGGATCTTAAATGGGGACTTCGCTGTAATCAAAACATTTTGAAGTTAAGTGCTCTATTCAAATCAAAATGTGGAATTAGTTGCTTCAATTATTTGGATCTTAAATGGGGACTTCTCCGTAAAGAAAACGTTTTGAAGTTTAGTGCTCCACTACTTTTCAAGTCAACATTGTGGAATTAGTTGCTTCAATTATTTGGATCTTAAATGGGGACTTCGCTGTAAAGAAAAAGTTTTGAAGTTAAGTGCTCAACTACTTTTAAAGTTAAAATGTGGAATTAGTTGCTTCAACTTGGTTTTGTTTTGGTCAAAGTGACTAATTGTTTCTTGATGGTTTAATTGTGTTCTTACTGTTTCTACAAGAAAATGCTACTTATTCCACATTTTTTCTTTCAAATTGTTTTTCCCCGACATGTCAAAAGAATGAACAATCTTATAGAACCAAAGTGAATAGGTATTGGGCACCCATGCATTCATAGAATGCGATAGTGCAGTCCATCTATTAGTGTTATTAAACAATAAAATATGGATGCAGAGGGACGAGTAATTATAGTGTGGTATTAGAGTACAATTACGTGATGTACCTCATTCACGTGTTATGATGTAAGTGGATATTTATTGATTAATATCAACTATATCAACCACCCATATTATAACACATGAACGGATTATAGTATTATGCAACCGTATTCCCGTATCAGAACAAATAGGGAGGAGGTGTGAATAGCAGTAAATAGGGAATAATAATTAACAAAGCCATTCCAATAAGATTTAGAAGTGTCATATTATATAGCACCGTAATTTGATTGTCCAGTTGAAAAAAGGTCAGATTTATTGGCCAAACAATCCATCCAAATATAACAGATACAGATACGACCCTTTTTTTAATGCTTAGAAGATTTCCATGGGCATTAACACCTCAGAAATGCAGCAAATGCTCATCTCTTCCTGTTGCATATTGTTAAGGCTTTCTCTATTGTAATGGCTTTCTCCAAAGTTCTTGGAGAAACACAAAATACCTGCAAAGAATTGAAGTGTGGGGATAAAGGCCCGCCTATCCATTTCCCTTTCAGCCTCAAAGATAGGCAACCAGATCACTGTGGCTATCGTGGGTTTGCTGTGTCTTGCAATGAGAGACATCAAAGCACAGTGTCAATGACTTTGGTTTGGCAAAGAACAGTGTCAATGACTACAGCTATGGGGACCATGGGCTACATTGCACCTGAAGTGTTCTCCAGGAACTTTGGAAATGTGTCCTATAAGTCAGATGTGTATAGTTTTGGAATGCTACTGCTTGAGATGGTAGGAGGAAGGACAAATATCAATTCACCCACAGAGAACACAAATGAAATTTACTACCCTGAATGGATTTATAATTTTCTAGAAGAGGGAGATGACCTACGAATCCATATGGGTGAAAAAGAAAGATGGTAAAATTCCAAACAAACTTGCAATTGTAGGACTCTGGTGCATCCAATGGTATCCAGTCAATCGTCCTTCAATGAAAGCTGTGATTCAGATGCTGGAAAAAGGAGAAAACTTAACCATGCCTCCCAATCCTTTTGCCTCTACAGGTGCCGCACAAACAAATGCGAGTAGGCCTGCAAGAAATCTTAAAATTCAGTTAGAAGCAATTCCTGAGTTGGAGTAACATGTGTACTTATATATGTCTATGTACTTATGTATCATGTATGTAAAATTCATAATTCTATTGGTTCTGTTTTCTACTCACAAGAAGTGTAATTATTCGTCCTCAACAACACGTGCCTGCAATGTCCTGGGATAATTAGAAACGAAAAACAAACTGTTTGTACCCAGTTTTGGTAAATGGGCCAAAACTGGTTTACTGTTCCAAAAAAGAATATTTGTCAGGGCCAGGTCCATTTTGTCTTTCTCAAAGGGCCCTTTTTTTTTTCTGCTTTCCGCATAAAGGGCCATCAGCATAGAACACCTCTAAATCTAAAGCCCAAAAACAAAAGCCCAAACTTTAGGGTACGCTAAAAGTTAAAAAAGGATCGGTAACCGTTACACACAGACCCACGTGAGGGTCTAAAAGGGATTGTCACCATTAATGACGACTTGACCACCTTCTCTCCTAGCAAGAAAGCAAGCTGTCCAAAGAGCCACCAAAACCAGAAAAAGACCACGCTGCATACCAGATTCTCGAGTACAAAGGACTCCAGTCAGAAGACTAACGCAAAGGACCAACAGTTTTCGTCAGAAACGTTCCGTCATCCCCACTATATACCAGTCCAGATCGAAGAACCAACAGCTGACTTTGGGCAGCGACCATATATCCACTCTCAGTCATCATCACTTGAAGCTCTCACCTTGTCTATAAATAAAGAGCCTCCGCCACAGAGGAAGGAGACTCTCTCTCCAAACTAGATGCAACGTCTCAAAAATACTTGAAGAACTCAAGACTTTTTCAACTAAATCCGCCAGATTTCCAGATAACCAGTTGACCACTCCTGCGCTTATCTTTTTGTTGCTCTGCCATCTTCATGGTATGATATTCTTTTGAAAAACAATCAGTTTGAATTCATGTACTTATCTGACTGGATAGAGAAATCTTCAGTCCTCCATCATTCTGCACTTTTTGTTTTGAAAATATATGTATGTGAATAAGAATCTCGGCTTTCATGTAATATCAAGTTTAAAAATTAGATGAACAGGAATTGCATAATTTGTTTTGATTATTTTATTGCGCTTTCACCAGCTAATAACTTTTATATGCACACGTGATAGATGTTTAATTAAACGCTGCAACTCTGCAATTTATTTTAAAAACATATTCGGACCCAAAGGAAGGTCTCGGCCCGAATAGGGTCATAGTGACCTGAGGGATGAAAACCTAACCGGGCCCGAAAGTTAATCCATTGGGCCTGAATTGACTGTTTGCCTAGAGCGATGGCTGTTTGAATTCGACTTAGGTTTCTAAACCTAGACAATGTATTTATTAACCGTAAACTTGGTTTTTCCTTTTGCTTGATCAGGTATTGCTTGTACTTGTCAAGATTGACTTACACGAATGAGAGAATGTTGAAGTCCTCTTAATTGAGGCATAGAAAAGAACTAATCCAGGCCAGTACCCCCCTTGGAGCACTATGGCTTGAACAGAAGTCCAGAGAAGAAGCGCGAACTCTGTAAAGTCACCACACTACACTAGTCTCTCACACCAGATCTGTTGGTCCAAGCCAGCACCCACTCGATTTTGTCAACCTGATTCAACTTTCAATTTTGAAAGAAAATTGAGAGAACTTTCTCCGTGAGCCAAAAAGATCCAATCGGGGCATTGGTGTCGGTTCAATAAGGCATGTGGTGCTATTTGATTGTCTTCATGTTTGAGAACAGTTTTGTGAACGAGGTGTTCCTATGACCCTAGCACTACAATGAGTAATAGGAGTGCTCTTTGAACCTATGAACCTAACATAAACTTAGTGATAGGGATGCTCTTATGGTCCCGAGCATGTACGTAGTGCTCAGTGTGTTTCTGACTGAAGCATGTGCTTAGGCACTAGCCCAATACTCGGCATCCCATACGCCTCCAGCATATGCTCTCATTGAATATTGCAGCGGATCAGATAAAGAAGGAACAGTTGTCCTAAAATCATGACAGAGAACGAACTAAGGCACGACATGATTTAAACTTACATACTGCCTAATCGAGGTATGTAAATTTTCTTCATCATAATCATGATCCTTGAAAGTTTCAAGGTTCCGAGCTTCCCATTTATATAAGACTAGTTTTGTGAACTTTTTCTTACAGTATTTGATATTTAGTTGTTAGTCGTTACATGTTGAGAGAAATAATGTCGGGAGGTAGTGGGGTTGGAAGGATGAAACATCAGAAACTTTCTAAAAAGCAAGAAATCGGTTTTAAGATGCGGGTTACACTAATTGATATGAGCAAATAAATAACCAACTACAAAGGCAACCAGTGAATTTTCTTCCAAGTCTTAATATCACAGTTCTCTACCTTGCATGAAGGTGTGCCTCTTATCCTTTGCTTCAATATGTAAGTTGAATGGTTCAAGGGCTTCTGACCAAATTATGATCTCCAACTGGGTTCAACTAGTGAACCTGCAAAGCGGTACCATCACTATCGATCCAAGCTTTCCCATTGAATGACAGAGAGTTTCCCTGGTTACCCTTCCACGCTGGGAGACTGGAGAAAGCAAGACTAAAAATTACTGATTTGGAGAAAACACTGAAAGAAAAGGTAAGGAAAGATTAATCTGGTGATATACATTTATTATTTAAGGATTAAGGTGAGAAACTACAACATCAAGGAACTGAAATGTCACAGTTAACAAAAGGAGGTCTTTATTTAACTGTTGTAGCAAATAAAAAATTATAGAGGAAATGTCCAAAAACCACTTTATTCTAATACGGTCGTGTAGCCAAAACACTAACCCAAGTATCTCCTAAGTTTCCATTCTTTCTTCGTCTAATTGGCTACCAACATTAGCTGAACTAAACCATCTCTAAGACTGTTATAAATATAGTGCATAAGCAATGTACGTACATTGAAACTTTTGGTTATGTATGGAAATCTTTGAAATTACCAATAAACCTTTAAGTAGCAAGAACTCCTAAGACACAATACCCAAACTATTTTATGACCGTTGCACACAGCCTTCAATTATTTTCAAGTTATCACACCATCAGGCCTTGCACAGAAATGATGTTAAGATCATATACATTCCTGTAGAAAGGTGGAACTTGCAGTAAATCAATTGCTTTAGATGAAAACTAAATTCAAAGAGTTCCCTCACCACTACAAATGGTGGACCGATAAGGTAGGACTTTAGATTTATCTCAAGCCTTGGGGCAGCCATGTATTTATAGGAACCTCGGAGGCTTGGGTTTCAGAAGAATAATTCCACAGATAGAAATGAATTATTCTTCCACAATTTGGAGAGATTGACGTAATTAGGGATTTGATTTAAATAACTCTCAATTAGGCCAAATAATCCCAAAATGGAAGGAAATATTTGACCTAAGGCCCATAATATAGGTACAATACCATAACATTGCTGTCGCAGTGCAACGTATACCTCCAGTCCTCGCAATAGTCTGGGTCACAGTTTAGTCGAAAAGGATAGCTTATGTTGTGGATGTTGCCGCAGGAAGGAGCACACCTGTAGCTATCTTTACCTTCAGGGATTGGAACTTTTACCAAAAGAGCACTTGTATTATGGATGTCATGATCCTTAGCTCTACAAATTTCACTGAACAATAAGTTAATACCTAAAAGGGCTACAACTAAGACCCGTGAAGACAAGGTGAAGGGCCTCGTTCCACTTCCCAGAGAGAGAGAGAGAGAGATTCTGGAGATATCTATGAGTTTGTGGTACAGAAAAAGCAGCACCGTCCACTCAAATTGCTACTATTGATGTCAGAAAGTCAGTCAACGGACAGGTAATAGGAGGGTTTGTGGTACAAATCCCACACGCATTTGGCTATTTTCATTCCACGTCTTACAGTTTCAGTATCCTCCATTCCATATTGGACCCATCTATTAAATTCAAACCAAAACAGTAATACTTGTATATAGGTCGGGTTGTTACTGCATAAATGCATAACCAATATAATTCCTCTTGATTTTGAAGATGAGTTTTTTTATTTTATTCAAACAATAGGAGGGGAGAAGGGGGACTAAATCATTGGGTTGGGTTCCTCAAGATTACACACTATAAGTTTTGAACCCGGCCCGGGTGCCATGGGAGGGGGGAGGGGACCACGAAAACCTATGTGGTTCAACCCCACTGGCAAGATGAGAGCTTTTTCAACTTGGTTAAGTTACAATTAAGGTCTAAAGTATCGAGAGTTTTGAAAATATCGGTGGTTCAAAAACACGGATATATCAATGGAAATATCGATATTGATAAAATTTGAATAAAAATCACGGAAATTGTGAGAAAAACTTGAAATTTTTTATTGAAACTTCAGAGGATGTTTACTTAGTCAATTATTTATTATTTTATCACAAAAAATTAGAAGGAAATGCATTAGAATTACACCAAAAGCCCTAAAAGCTTACCAGAAACTGTTATTGATAATCAACAAATAACAATTTTTACAATATATATATATATATATATATATATATATATATATATATATGATAAGATATATGAGCTTGACCAAAAAGACAAAAAAAAATGTATGAGTACCACATAGAAAGAATTCATATTAAAATTCAAACTTAGTATCACATATAATGAATAATATTAAAACTCAATAGTGAATAATAATACAACTCCATAATAAAATAATAAATAACATTAAACATGTGCCTAAATGGAATTTTTTTAATATGGAAATTTATCCTATCCAGACATTTTAAAGACCTTATAAATATTATACGTCGTAGCAATATTAACAAACTCATCCACAGCGAGTTGGATAAGGCTCAGTAGGCAGCTGGGAAAGAGAGGGGTTTGAATCCAACTGTGCGCAAAAGCGTTTTTTCTCAACATTTATCATTTATTTTTCATTTATATCGATATTTAATACTGTTGTTACAATACATTAATATTGTCAAGTCATAATTATTTATGATACACATGGTAAAAACGTTTGTTGTACTCAATAATGTTTTTCTACGAAAATGGGGAGACACTATTTAATTCATTAGCTGTTGTATGATTTCACAAGGAGCATTTGTTTGACCAGCGTACGGCTCCATTTTTTTTTTTCCATCACCTAGCTGACAGAGTGCATGTTAGCTCCCTGTTAGAACAACTTGGATTGGAATTCTCTTGAACATGGCCTACCGGCATCTCTTCCGCACTTAGGAAAGGTTTGTTAGGCATTCGTAGGTTTTCAACATCTCCTTCGAGCATATTTATGACTTTGTTCATTGAAGGACGATCACTTGGCGTCATCTGTATACACCACAAGGCAGCTATATTATCATCTTTTTTTATTATTTTCTTTTCCTCCTCTCCTCTGTATCTTCGCCAATCTCCAAGTCTTTGCCCTCACTATACTGTTCATGCGCCCATGAAGGAAAGTAAACCTAGCTTGAATGCTCCACCAATGCATTCAAGCCATGCACAGGTATCTAACAAGATCGTGTTGGATTGTCTGAAGAAGAGACTGTAAGTCGCCGAAGGAAAATGGATTGATGAGCTGCCTAGAGTCCTATGGGCCTATCACACCACCAAAAGAAAATCAACTGGAGAAACCCAATTTTCCCTCTCCTACGGAACTGAAGCAATCATTCCCCTCCATACCACTTTCCATTCATGAGCACTGAGGTGGGTAGCTTGGATCAGAATTGTGGGCAGATGAAGGTCAACCTCGACCTACTTGAGGAAGAAAGAGAAAAGGCCATTGTTCGAGTTGCAGTTATCAACAGTAGTTGACGTTCTACTACAATAAAAGAGCCAAAGTCAAACAATTCTAACTTGTGGACCTTGTGCTTAGAAAAGTCTTCATTACCCAATTGGGAAGGCTCTTACGTGATCAACCGATCCTGGGGGTAGTTATCTTTAGCGGTACAAATTTCACTGGATAATAAGTTAATACCTAAAAAGGCTACAACTAAGACCCATGAAGACAAGGTAAAGGGCCTTGTTCCACTTCCCAGAGAGAGAGAGAGAGAGAGAGAGAGAGAGAGGTTGTTCAGAAAATAGATTTACAAGTTCTGGAGATATCTATCAGTTTTGTGATACAGAAAAAGCAGCACCGTCCACTCGAATTGGTATTATTGATGTCAGACAGTCAGTCAACGGACAGTTAATTCTAACCCCACACGCATTTGGCTATTTTCATTCCGCGTCTTACAGTTTTCAATATCCTCCATTCCATTGGACCCATCTATACAGTAATGCCTGCATAACCAATATAATTCCTCTATAATTCCTCTTGATTTTTTTTTTTTTTTTTTTTTTTTTTGGTGTCAAACGATAGGGAGGGGGAGGGGGAGTAAATCATTGGGTTGGATTCCTCAAGATTGCTTCGAACCCAGGTGCCATGTGAAGAAAAGAGAGAGGTGGGGGAGGGACACGAAAACCACTGTGGTACAACCCCACTGGCAAGATGAGAGCTTTTCAACTTGGTTAAGTTACAATATATTAATGTTGTCAATTCATAATTATTTATGATACACATGGTAAAAACGTTTGTTGTACTCAATAATGTTTTTCTACGAAAATGGGAGACACTATGTAATTCATAAGGGGCATTTGTTTGACCAGCGTATGGCTCCAATTTTTTATTTTTTTTTCGTCACCTACCTGACACAGTGCATGTTAGCTCCTTGTTAGAACAAGTTGGATTGGAATTCTCTTGAACATGGCCTACCGGCATCTCTTCCACACTAAGGAAAGGTTTGTTAGGCATTCGTAGGTTTTCAACATCTCCTTCGAGCATATTTATGACTTTGCTCATTGAAGGACGATCACTTGGCTTCATCTGAATACACCACAAGGCAGCCATTATCATCTTTTTTATTATTTTCTTTTCCTCCTCTGTACCTTCGCCAATCTCCAAGTCTTTGCCCTCACTATATTGGTCATGCGCCCATGGAGGAAAGTAAACTTGGCTTGAATGCTCCACCAATGCATTGAAATTCTTTCTTCTACTACCCATTTCCATCAGCAGCATTCCAAAACTATACACGTCTGCTTTGTACGATACACCTCCAATATTTTTGTAGAACAACTCAGGAGCAATATATCCCATTGTTCCCCTTGCCGCTGTCAAATTCACAATGCTGTTATCTGTTGGGTACAATTTTGCAAGACCAAAGTCAGACAATTTCGGTACAAAATTCTCATCAAGAAGAATGTTGTGTGGCTTGATATCGAAATGCAGAATTTGCATGTCACAACCTTGATGTAGATATTCGATTCCGAGAGCCACTCCGAGAGCAACCTCATACATTTTCTTACAACTTAAAGGGACACTTCCATCTTTTGAATAAATGTATTTATCAAGAGAACCATTAGGCATGAAATCGTACACTAGACCGCGATTTGATCCTTCAACACAGTAGCCAACAAGTTGTACCACATTAACATGGTGAATCCTCCCAATGGTCGCTACCTCATTGATGAAATCTTGCCCATTAGCTTTGGACTTGCCCAACATCTTAATTGCTACAAATCGGCCGCTGCGTAACTTTCCCTTGAAAACAGTGCCGTAACCTCCTTCGCCCACTTTTTCCCTGAATTTACTAGTCATCTTCTTAACATCTGAGTAAGAGTACCTTATTGGTGCAAAGTTTCTTTCATTTTGCAGAAAATCTTCAATGCTGCTATACATAGACAAATGCCTTCTTCTCCATTTATAGACCAAAACCGCAATGACAAATGGAAGGCCAAATACAAATCTTGCCATAACAAAAACTCCTGCGCAAGAACATCACCATAGGGTTATTGAGTTTTTTGCCATTGTCCTTTTTATATATGCTTGCTAAGATGAAAATAAATGTTCGCTAAAAGAAGATACAAGCTCTTACCGAGGATCAAGAGTACTGCATATCGTTGGTCTGCAAGAAATACCCAAAAAGAAAAAGAACAAAATCAAATTCTTGACTTACTTCCAAAACTAAGTGCAAAACAAAATACCGGGAATGAAGAAATGAAGAAAATTTGGGGCAGAAATTGCTTACCATCCATCCATTCAAATAGAGACTGAAAGAAACCTGCAATGACAAGGAAAGAAAACATTTAACATTAGAAAATTGAATATGCACTTTTAAGCAGTTCCTTTAACCCGAGTTCATGTGTTTGAATTCCAATATCGCTTATATAATAAAAAATTGAAAATGAAGATACCACTTTGATGTGTGCAAAAAATTAAGGATTAGAGGACCAAGAGACCAACTTATGTACTATCTTTAAATTGAAGAGAGGGGTTTATTAATTTGAGAACTCTCTCACACACATACCTATGAACCGGTTTGGATAACAATTCCTAGAAAAGTCCCATCCTCTGCAGGAATAACGCGTATACAAATCAGGGCGCCACTCAAGCTCAAACCCAAACTCCAGTGCCTCATGTATATGCTGATACGAACCGTTTTGATCCTTTTCATACAACGTCGTTATAGCCGTCCGATCTACCCTGCACCCGTCCTCCAAATCCGACGTCGTTAGGGTCCCCGCCTTCACATAATAATAACCCCTGCTACCAATGCAAGAACTTGCGTCCACATACAGCGACGAATTGGCTGGAACTCTTTCACACTTCAAATAAATAATTGGGCTCGAACTTCTGCATATTTGCGTGCAATTTGAACTTGACCATTTGTACGGATCTTGGAAGCTGAAGTTGGAAGGCGACAGAGAATAGCGAGGAAGAGAGGAGCAGTCGTTTTTGCGGAGGCCGGGATCGACGGCTCGGATTGTGTTGTTGTCGTAGTTGATTGATCGGACGGTGTATTTTCCGGAGTATAGGTTTAGGATTGTGAGGTTGTTTTCGCATGAGAGGGTGTAAAACGACACGCCGCAGTTGGTTGGATCGCCGTTGAGTCGAAATGGGTAGCTTATGTTGCGGATGCTGCCGCAGGATGAAGGAGGGCAGACGCGACCGATAGTTTTCTCGTTGGAAGCTTCAGAGGATGAGGTGATGGCGAGAAGGGATAGAATTAGAAACCATGAAGAAGAGGATGTTTGAGTTTCCATGGAGAGGGAGATAAGAGTTCTTCTGGGAGTAGATTTTCGGCAAATCTATAAGTAATGAACAAGTTATAATTTTATAATAATTTATTTCCAATATCATATATATATATTCTAAACTAAAATCCGGAGAAGAGTTTCTCACACATCACTACTAAGGTGTTAGGGGTTCGAATTTTAGACAACATGTCTAGTAAAGACTCTTTTCCATTCGGTTAGAACTCGTTGACAATTTATTCCCAATATCGTGAATAAATGTATAAAAAGAGAGATTGGCAATAAATAGAATACACAATAAATTAGCATAATGAAAATAAAATGTGTTGAGGTCTATTGGGTAAAATAAAAATTGTCTTGTTATTGTGCGTCACATCAATTTGTAACTAAAAGTTCGAGTAATAGCTGATCTTTTTCAAGAAAATTGAAACCGATAGCAAGTTGCAAGAAAAGAGATGCCGTCTTTTTTGAAGAAAACCGATAGTAGGTGAGTCAAGGATATCACATGATTGGTTAGTCTACTTCGACAGCTTCACAAATCATTTAAGATGCCTTTTGGAATGAAAATGAAACTAGCATCATAGCTCCATTAGCAAATTGGTCATCCCCTTGTTGTGAGAACAAAGGGTGAAGAGAGATTATCCCTTATCTTTAGTTTGTACTTGCTGACTCATTTCAAACAGACAAAAAGCAGCCTTGGAAGTTTCTCTGCATTCTTTTTTCCATGATAAAATAATTATAATAAATTGAATCTTCAATTCAGTGAGTCTCGAATGTGACATGTCGTGGCACCGCCAAGTCAACTGTTGACTTTTATAGTCTTTTCATCTGAAACATTTTTTTTATTATTTTAATTTTCTTTTCCTGGTTATGAAAGTGTTAATTGAATCATGGGAGGACATCTTATTGGATACCATTTCGTTTTTCTGCAGCCTGAGATATGGTAAAAATTATCATCTCTTCCTTCTGCTTAATCTTTCTGGCTTTCTCCACAGTGCTTGGAGAACCCCAAGATACCTGCGAAAAATTGAAGTGTGGAGATAAAGGCCCAGCTGTCCATTTCCCTTTCAGCCTCAAAGGCAGGCACCCAGATCACTGTGTCTTTCCTGGGTTTGTTCTGTCATGCAATGAGAAGCA